TAATCCAGCATGGTTATGCATAATTGAAAATCTTCTTTCTCTCAATCTGAACTGTAACATCTACTGCACACCAGTTGATACAGCTTTCCCAAGTACAGACTGCTGCTTGGAGATAACTTAATGATACAGTTCTGTAGGATACAATACATTATATAAAATGTGAAACTTATTCCATAAACTTGCTTATTCATATGTAGTCTTGGCAGAAACACACTACATAGTATTCTCCTGAATTACAGGAAGCAGACTTCATGTTACAGGGTATAACTGATGTACCTGTTTATTTTCAAGTGTTGGAGTATAGATATGTGCTCTGCTTTAGAAAAGTTTCAAGACTGAATTTTATCATCATTCTGAATTTACAAAAGTTTGTGGAGAGTGAACACTGAAGAAATCAAATTATCTTTTAACTGTATATAAAACTGAAATAATAGCATGTTTCTAAACATGGTCATACTTGCTGATCTCTAATTTGTATCAGTCTAGCTTCCCCATGCTGCTGCAAACAGTTATCTCCTACAAGTAACTACAATCTAGCTAGGCCATTTTTAAATATGTAAAGCTGTCTTGTGGCAGTGTTCTTTCTGGTTTTACTTTCTCAATCTGCTGCTTTTCTTATGCAATATACAGCTTCTCTTCTTTCTCTGAAAAGGTCTTGGAGCTCCTCCCAGTCCTGGGGTAGCTAGGAGAGAAGTAGAAGGTAACATAATTTTTGTATTCTAGAAACAGATTTCTAATTTAATAGCTGAGTAATATTATTGTCCTTGTGATAGTAAAGGTGATTTCATGAAGGTATTGTTTAGGATCTTTTTTCTTGTGTTTAACATAGTCTTCAGACAGGCAAGTTGCTCGGTGATTTTCAGTGATGGTGTGAATTGTTATAGAAGGCAGTCTTCATTTATGAAAAACGAAGTGATTAGACTGCACTAATCAGGAAGAATACTTTGAATACTGACTTTTAGAAGAAGTTGTAGCTGACTGATTGCTAGAATAAATACTATACCTGTAACTAAATCAGAAATCTAGGAAGCCAGATTTTTTTGTAAAGAGCTATATAAGTTTATAAGTTCATATATTTTGGAGAGAGAAATTCTATTTAAATAATTTTGCCTATGATTCAGTATTTTTATCACTTCCTAAAGAGTTGTATGCACAAAATACACTGTATCTGTTTTCATTCTGTGATATACATTTATGAGAAGCATCTCTCTTGCATTATTCTAGTTGGACTATGTGCGTGTAGTGCTGAATGGGTCCTGTTTTAGCCATGCCAACAGTCATGGTTTTGTGTTTCTTCTTATTCCCTCAGGAATGTGACTCTTTGTAGCAAATATAGACATGGCAGTGGAAGTTCTAATATAGTCACGATCAAGATGTTCTCCTGTATACTATAGTTAATTTTGGCTATATTGCTGGTTCATTTTTCTAAATCGGCAAAATCACTATATGCATAGAATAGTTCAGGTTGGAAGGGACCTCTGGTGGTTACCTATTCCAGCCCCTTGCTCAGAGCAGGTTAAACTGGTGCCAGGTTGCTCAGGATACAAGTTGCCTTACTGGGAACTGTACCCAGAAATCCATCCTAAGCGGTTCCAAGAAAGCAGCATTGTCTGACAAATGGAAGCCAATTTGATAAACTAAGTCTCTTATGTACCACAGAGTGTTCCTTCCAGCTCCTGTAACTGACATGGTGATTTTACCTTCCTGGGAAATAGGCAACAGAAACACAAGCCAGAATTGTAAACTTCTTTGCCTGTTAGAAATTGTGCCCTTTTCTGAGGTAATGGTAATTTTTTTTCATATTTTGCACTTCACAACTTGAATGTTGCATACAAGGTTGTCATTAGCATCAACATGTAAGTGTTGAGGTTGGTGCTTTAATATATTTATCCCATAAACAAAGAGAGTAGGTTCAAGAACTTTGGTGTAGACCCTGTAGATTGCTGAACCATGGATAATTACAGATGTACTCTTCTGATTGCATGATTTTTTGAGTCAACTTGTTACATAAGTTCTCTTTGTTTTAAAGACTGCTGTTAAAATATCTGCAGAATATACTACAAAGGAAAACAACATTACATAAGTTCTCTTTGTTTTAAAGACTGATGTTAAAATATCTGCAGAATATACTGCAAAGGAAAACAACGACTTCTAGCACGATTGAGAACACAGGGTACCTGTACAAGTGGGCATCTTTAGCTTGCAATAAATAGGAGGTGATTTGACTTAATTTGTAATTAGAAGGGTCAAATTACTCCACGTGTGCCATGGGATAAGAGTGTGCTAGAGTAACAGCTTAGCTGATGGATAGACTTTAATATGTAACAACTTTTTAAAAATCACTAATGTTTTTTTTGCTCCCATTTCCATTAGTGATAATGTACCATTGCTGTATAATACCCGTTTGTAGCTTATCTAACAAAGATAATCTAATTTTCTTTCCATGCTTCAAAGCACAAAAAAGTCCTGGAACACAAAGAAAAGATAACTTAGGTAATACAGATACATGCTTTGTACTAATTATAATACAGAAAGAAGTTGATTTTGAAATACGTTCTAAGTCAGTGATCTCTAATATCTGTTCCAGTTCGTAATCAGCCTCCACCTTCAACTGGAATTTCAAGTGCAGGAACTGCTGGATATGGTACAACCAGACCGGTAGGTCTGTCTTAAAATCATTTTCCTCCAAAGTTTCTGCAGTGTATTATGCTGGCAGTGGGCTTTTGTAAGTCATAACAGATGTAAGAAAATTGCAAAACTGACTAGTCATTTTACAGCTTATATGAGTTAATTCCCTTAACATTTCTTGTGTGTTGACTAAAAATACTTTAGCATATATACACTGGACATGACTGTATTGTTTTGCACTTTATGCAGTCACTTCATAGGCTTCCAAATAATATCACATTTTATGTCCACTTTTAAGTAACTGCAAAGTGCAAAGTTATTCTTGATATTATATATTTCTGTTGACTGCATTGCTGATTGGCTATGATAAAATGTATTATCTTCTGTGTTCAAATGTATATCCTGATAGTAGTTAATTGCTTGCAAGCAGTTAATGTATTATATAGGTAGGTGATGTGTTACATTGCTGATTACTTGATGTGTAATGGAATTTTGTACCTTGTACCTTTAAAAATTAAATTTCACAAGAGTCTTCATGTGAAAGTGAAACATTCAACTATTTCAACAAAATGGTCAACAAACATTAGTTCTGCATTTCATTCTTTATTTGTGGAGCTGAACTGAAGGAACTGAGTGAAGGATTTGTGGGTGCTTGAATGCTTCACTACAAGCAAGAAATCAAGAAATGGAAGACATCTGCCTTATTTCTCTTAACAGCAACAAGCAGGAGCCTTGTGTTAGGGAAGGAGGAAGTGGTTTCATAGCTATAGGTCTCCCTAAAAAATTACTAAGAAATTGTGTTGTTTGTTGATAATTCTGTAAACTTTGCAGCGTTATTTCAGAGACAATTTTTGCAGCAGCATGAAGGGCTTGGCTTTTCTTTCTGTATCTACATCAACCACAGTATTTGCGTTTACTTTGTTCCCTCTGTTGTGGCAGTTCCAGGCTTAGATCATACCTCTTTATACCTGGACTTTTTATACACTAAAAAGCAGCAGAAGTTGGCTCTTTCTTATCAGTTTCTTGGTCATTAGAGAACTTTGTTTTCCTTCTCTAAGGCATTTCGCTCTTCTCTTTGGAGTAATGTTCACAATGACACTGGCAGGATGGAGAGCACGGATATCAGTCTTTGGTAAGGCTACAAAGCATTCTGCTTGCATAAATGCCAGTGGGATAGATACTGATGAGGTTTTTGACTTGCGCACAAATACGGTGTCTCTTCTTTCATTTCGTATCTTTCTTTCAGGTAAAGTGATAGACCAGTTGTTGCAGATGAGAGAGGGAGAGAGTGAGTGTGAAGAAGCCATTAAAATAAAGATGCAGCTAACCACAAGAGTTTAGGTTAAATCCATATAAATTTGTTTTATAAAAGGTTGTAGAGTCCTTTTCCACCTTTTAAATGAGCAAGAAGCAAAAGAACGCTGCCAGCTGTCCAGAGAACCAGAGTTCTTGTAAAGCTTAAAGGAGTTGCACCGTGCTGCTATTGCCATTTCTATTGTACTCCTGTACAGTATTGAAACCACTGAAAACTACTGTTGAAAGCCACCATTGAAATCACATTTTGCTGATTCATTATTCTCAGAGATTGATTCTCACAGTGAGCAGTTCTTGATCTTTGCACTTTTTTTGTTATTTTCCCAGAAATGTAAAATGCCCTTTTCTAAAATTTGGATAGAGAAAACCTGGAATACACAGGAAAGAATCTATTCATTTATCACCATGTGCCTCACTTTTTTTTTTTTCCTTGTAATCTGGAGCCAGCACAGGATTTGCCATTTCTAAATCAAAATAATTCAATAAAAAAATTTGGCGTACAGAAGAGACTCCATCAGCGTCTTGGAATTGGCCTAAGTGCGAGAATTTTTGTTCATACGAACAAAAGTAGTACTGTTCTCTTGTTCTATGCTTCTCAACACCCAGGCTGGACTACAGTTAGAGCTGCTTGCCAGTGTCCAGGAAGAGCCACGGTGCTGCAATTGCCAGCAGAATTTGATAGGACAAAGCTGACGGCGTCTCTTCCTTCGCAGATGTTGAGATTGTCTTTTAAAATGCACAAAACAGAAAACCAGACACCAAACCCCTCAACAAACCGACAACCAGGTGTTATAAAAGGTCTGAAAAAACACCTCCTTGGATCTGCTGGGCTTTTCGAGCCTGAGCTGAGCCGCCGCTGGGGCTTCCTGCCTGGCGTTGCCCCTTCCCTCGTGCGGAGCGGGGCTGGGGCAGCGTTCCGTCCCGAGGGCTTCAGCACCACGGACAGCCGCCGCGGCGGGCGCCGCGTCCCACCGAGCCTCCCCGCCGTCGTCATAGAGTTCCTTTCCGTTCCTGCTCTGTTCCTTTTTGATGTGTGTCTTTTCTTTCTTTTTTAACGCATCTTGGCATTTAATCCAACCATCCTTATGCCCACTTTCAGAATATTCAAAGAAATGACAAAATGGGTCTTGGCAATTAAAAGGAAGACCCGTATTTCAGAGGTTAAGTGGTTTTAAAGCATTTAGAAATTTGGGAAGTGGACTTGGCCAAGCATAATGGAGCAGATGTTATACAAAGTCTTTGAAGTAGCGTACATAGATCTAGTAAAAGTAAGATCAAGGATGATGCTTGTTTTGTAGTGGTGAAGTTCCTTAAATCATTTTTGTGTGGAGAGTTGTGTAATAGAGTTTACTCTGAAAACTATTTCTAGAACATCCACTGTTACTAAGATTTTTGTAAGAATATACCACATACACAAAATTTTAGAGGAAACAAATCTTACAGACTATCTTGCCTCAGGATCTTTTTTTTCCCCCCTGAAATCTAGAATTTTTATTCTAACACTTTACATTCAGCTATCAGGTGTTGTGTTTGTAATTCACTCGTCTTCAGTTGTAATCTGGAATAGTTTCATATTTCTCTTTAAATATTGATGTAGGCTTTTAATTTTGTTTTATGAGAGCAATTCCATTCCCAGCATATTAACTTCTGTTCCAACAAGTTTGGGAAGACTCCAGCCTTCAGATGAGACAGAATTTATGTTTCACTGATCTTTCTTGCTGAGGAACAGGAGTAACTGCCTTACAATTAGCAAACCTGAGTTTCGGAGAAAAGAACTAACTATGGTCTTTTATGCATATCTTGGACTTGCACTATATAAAATTGACTGTAGCTGCTGTTTGCAAATGGCAGGCTATAATTGTAGCCTGAAAGGTAGATGGTGTCTGCAGTCTGCATTGACAGTGGGTTGTCAATGTGTCCTTATGAGATCTCCAAATAAAGTAGTTGCTGTTGCTGGTTTTGTGGCTTACAATAATTCACAGACTTGGGTAAAATTAACTTTTTAATACTAACAAAATAATAAGTATTTCTAACATTGTTGCACAGGTAAATATTTATATAATGTTGAAGACAGTTGTAAAAGTGCTTTGCTTTGAATTGAACCATCATATTGTTTTAAGAATATGTTCTTTGGTTTTATATGTGCATACAAAAATAGTTCAGCAACTGTTTATCAAAGAATTTATTTTTCACAGAGTCCTAATTATACTCAATCATTTAGCAGTAGATGACTGCAGATCCAAAGCAGAACTAAAATACTTTCTTTTTACCAATTACTATGCCAGACCATTCCACCTCGAGCAGGAGTTATTAGTGCACCACAAAGCCATGCCCGTCCCTCTGGGGGAAGACCAGCACCTGAAACTCAGACCAAACCAGCTGAACCACCAAGGGGTAAGTTTACTTTAGAATCTAAATATAAATGTCACTGTTCAGTCAAGAGATACTATCTCTGGTTTGAATTCTTTGTTTTCAACAGATGTCCTCATTTTTCACTAGAAATTAAGATTCTCAAATGTAGTAACATTTGGCAGTTTCTGTTAAACATCGACGAGTATTGAACCCTTACCAGATAACAGGCAGCAGTCAAATGAGATCTAGACCCATAGATTTCATGCTATGAAGAGAAACTTTGATCAGATTGCTGTATTTTGGTCTGAGCACATTGGTGTGTCCTATCATGTGTGTTGATCATTGGACCATTCTCTGCACTGGTTGCTCTGTAATCGTAATATTTGGAATAGTGTTTATGTTTGACTCTCAAAGCCACTTCCTAAATTTAAAGATAAAGGGTTTTTAAAAATTGTATTAAGATCAAAATATGCATTTTATAATAGTGACTTCCAAAATACTTCTAAATATAACTGAAGTACACTTAAGAATGACATGGTTTCTGGTTCTCTATTTTGTATCTATAGTAATTTTTAATGGAGATATGCTGAGCTTTTGATGACTTCTGTTCTAGTTGCAATGATTACCTGCTGGCCTTACAGCCCCTTCTTCTGCAGTTCTGTTGGGTGCTTCCACAGCCACATGTTCTCATTCATGCCATTCTTAAGATTTCTATTACAGTTCTTTACAATGAGAAACACTGGAAATGTACTTGCAGGCTCGCCTTTGCTTCCCGAACCACTAAAGCCTCAGGCTGCTGGACCTGCTCAGCCCACCACTCCGCCACCACCTGCACTAAGGATGCAGGAGCCTCTGATACCTGTGGCATCGCATCCCGCTCAGACAAGTGCCCCACAAAGTCTGGAACCCCCACAACCGCCCCCTCGTAGCCGATCATCTCACAGTTTGCCTTCTGAATCTGCTCCTTCACAGCAGCAAGTAAGTGAAACAAACTTGTATGTATGTTTTTTCATTAGGCAAATTAACACAGCTTGTACTGAGTACTGTAAATTTGTAAGAAACTCCTAAAGCAAACAAACGAAAATAAAGGTTAAAAGATTGGATTCAAAGATCATCAGGATCTAGTGGGATAATACTTAATTGCTTATGTGTTGTCTGTGAATAACTAACATCTTAAATACTAAACATTTAACTTAAGATTTCTTATGACAGACTTAGAACTTATGGACAACTTGTTCTTAAAATTATGTTGTCACTTGGCAATTTTGTATGGAAAAATATTCAGTCTAAGAAATTTAATTTTATAAAGACACATGCATGACTTAAACTGCATAGTAACTAGCTAACACAGGTTATGTTTATAAAGTAAGCTTTATAGATCACATGATGTGGTACTTTGGTGATAATTTATTGCAGGAAGACAATACTGATATATACTTAATAGATACTTTCCCACTCCCTAGTGTCAATTAAAATATAGAAACATATCAAAATAATCTGAGAATGTAATACAGTAACATTAATATTTTGTTCTGTGGGACCATTTAGAGTGTTATTTTTTTAAAAGTGCCTTTTTGTAGGAAAATCCATAGTTTCTTACTCCTGTTTAAAAAATGCAGAACTAGGTTTTCAGTGTTGTTTATATATACATAAGGCTAAACTTCTTCAGTAAAGACCAGTGTTGTTAGTTTTTACAGTATCAGGTGCTAGGCCAGATAATACACTACTTGAATAAAAGCACAAATTTATTGAAGCTGATGGATTTGTGCCCACTTCTTACCAAGAGCAGTTTTGTGGTTTTGTTTTCTGGTGTTCGGGTTTTTTAAAACATTAACTCAGTTGTGGATGTTTATGACTATGGAAGTTTGCATCAGTATTTTAGATTTTACCTTATCTGTACGTCTGAAACCCACTTTCACTAAGGCAGTTAATTAATACCTATTTTGTACCACAATGAAGCAGACAAATTCAGTCCTCTGAGTTGATTTTGAATTCTGATTGAAAAATCTTTAATTTCTCTTCCTTTCTGCTGTACCTTTCTCTCTGCCTGTTAACTTTTTTCATTTTGGAACCTTAGGCCAAAAAACGGAGGATATTTTTGAATATACAGGTAGAATATCAGGACTTCTTGTAGTAGTTTGTTAGAAAGTATGAAGTGTTGCCAGCAGAGAATGTATATGGAGGCATAAGGTACTTGAGAATATACCAATTTTGTGAAGAGAAAGAGATTGCATTGTGTCACTTTTGAAAGCGTTACGCCTTCTAAGTGTAGTTCTACCACTGATTGTTTTGTGAAAGAGGTGCAAGCAGTTCTTTAAAAATTATTATGAAAATTACGTTTGTCTGGTGTATGCACAGCAATCAAAAATACGCTTAAGAACACCATAAAAAGGTTTTTGAGCAGTGTAATGCTGTGGCTGTATTGCTAGCAATATCCAAACCAGACGTTTAAGACTAGTTCATGGAGCTATGATTTTCTCTGCAATTAGATTTCTTCAATTAATGCAGGCTGTTCAATCACAAGGAAGGCTCAGTTTGAGCTGCATTTGTTGTCTCCAGCTTAAGTTTTTTTATTTCCCTTTTCCTTTCTCCCTTTTCCTTTCTCCCAGTTTAGTTAAATGACGTTTCTTTCATTTACTGATGATCATTTGTAAATATGAAGTTTTCTGAGAAAAGGTCTTTAAATAAATACAAAGTCTTTTGAGGGGTAGTGGATAAAAGTCCATCCTTTGATTCAAAGCTCGATCGTGATATTTAAGAACCTAAATATCTCCTTATAAAAATAATACAGAATACCAAGAAAAACATCAAAATAGAAAAGTAGCGATTGTAAATAAATTTTATTTATTGTAAATTAAGGAGATTTGGGGTTTAGATTGAATGAGACGTCTTACGGGTGTTTTTCAGCGTGAAAAACTATTACTATAGATGAGTGATTGTACCAACACAGTTCCCAGAATGAGGGCCACAGTGCTTTTCGTGTTAATAGATGGCTAGAATTAGACCATCAGTAGTCAAATTCTTATAATCAGTCTTCAAAAATAGTTCAATCAGCTGCACAATGACTGTCTTGTGGAAACAACATTAGAATTAGCTTGAGCTGGTTAATTTTTTTACTCTTAATGGTAGAGCTTATAATTCTTCAATAGAATCCAACAGAAATTTAAAATTTAGTATAGTGTGGAAAAAAAAAAAGAAAATTTTGGTTATTCATATCTAAAAAAAAAAAAAAGGCTTTGTGAAGTATTTTTAAAATGAGGTTGTTTTGTTACTTGGATTTTCTTCCTAATTTTCTTTCCTTTGATGTCTGTTTCTCTTTCACAAGCAGGAGCAACCATCAGGGTAACAGGTATCTGACTATTTACCAATCTTGTATGTGGTCTCCATCTATTCAAGCAGAAGAGATGTATGAATCTTGTTTTCATACATCTGCAGTCTCATCCACATTAAATCACCTGTCCACATTAATGAATTGACTGTCATACCATAGTTTGCTTTTTCCTTTCATAATGCAATTAAAATTGATACTGTTAACTGTATTTATTAGTGCCATGGCAAATATTTTGCTTCATCATCTTTTATGAAACAATTTGAACCTCACATATGTTGCTGAATCACTGCTGAATCTCCTGGTCTCAGCTGATGGGTAAAAAACGAGTAGGTGTTGGAGTTAACAGTTCTTTTGAATACAAATGAATCCTGATACAATTCCACTCCCAAAGTTTTTTCAAAATAAACCCCATATTTCACATTTCTCAAAGAACAGAAAACTTACTGTTACCCGAAGTAAAATATACTGTTTGTTACAATTTAAAAGCATTTGGTTCCAGAATTACTTGGACAGAGTTTTTACTTACAATAAAGAGCAATTGGGATTCATAATTTCTTTGGGATCTTGTACTTTTGATCACTTGGTTAATGAACACAGGCCTTATGCGGCTTGGCACCAGCTGGCTTTGATTTACAATCTTTATACAGTTCAATTTTTTATATTTCCCCCCTCAGTTACTTGATGCCTTTGTTTTAATATTATTTTCAAAAGCACTTACTATTTACATATAAAAATACCAATATTGAACTACTCTATGGTTTGGTAACATTAAGCCTCATCTATTTTGGAAACACTCTGACGTAGCAGGACCAGAGATGCATAGAACAGACATTGCTGTTTCAACAAAATCACTAGAGCAAATGCGTTGCTGCCAGCGTACTCCTTCTCTCCTACCAACCAATTCCAGATACAACTGCAGTTTTTTTAAAACAAATGACTATGATGGATACATTGGGAAAAGCTTATGGTATTCTTATTATTCCTGAGAGTCTCTAAAGCATATAACTAATTTTGCATAGCTGCTTAAAGTGGATATGTGGAGACATGCTTCAAACTATTCTCAATAAATGCAGTAACACCAAGAAGTTTAAAGACTGAGGCTAGGCTATAATACCATCATATTTTAGTTGACAGCTTTAGCTAACATCCTAGTTCAACAAAACATTAGTTAACAGAATTTTCATGCCTAATACCCAACTTACTTGGGTGTATTAAGTTGATGTGTTAAAATGACAAATTTGTTTGTGAAATTTGAATTCTTAGAAGCTATTTTAACTTAATTCTTTGCTTTAATAAAGGGAAGCTCCAAACTCTGTTCTGTCAGTGTGATGACCCAAACAAATTGTAGATATTCTACCTTTTTTGGACAGTTGTTATAAGGTACAAAAGTTGCATTGCTGTTTGAAGAAGTTGATAAAAACAGGAATATTTTGTTTTTAAAAGATGAGGAAGTTTTGTGGAGAAAACTCTGTCTTCTCCATTTGGTATTATTCTAAACAATGATAACTTGCCATTTCAAAATATTACAAACTGATGATTGTAGCTTCACATGTCAGGAAGCACCGGAGATGCCTACAGATGCATATGTCTACATAGAAATGTCTAAAGTGCATATACTAATAACACTAATTTTTCCTTTCATTGTGATGCTTAAATATTGCTTGTAACATCAGTGTTATAAACTCTCAAACAAGGAGACCTCGAGGTTTTATTTCCTGTCTGTGATGGGTTATCACTTGTTTAGAATACAGCGTAATTTCCTAAGTTCTTTAAAGAATTTCTGCTCCAGTTTCCACTAGTGCTTTTAGCTAGGCTTCTGACTTGCATGAAATAGATTCAAGTTGCATCAACCAACATGGGGGGAGGGGGGGGGGAAATTGCGTTTAACAACTAGTAGGCTTTTCTTCAGAGGAGGGGTTAAGGGTTATTGTTTTCCAGAAAAGAAGCAATCATTCTACTCCATGTGCATTGTGCAAGTTACAGCCAAACTGTATTGAGGTTTCCGTTTAGCCCTAAGAGCTTCTTGTCTTCTCATAGAAGAGTGAGAAATGGGGAGTCAGTAAGAATCATAAAACACAGCCACGTGATTACTAAGCACCTTGTTTTCTTTCCAGATTAAAACAAATGGAACATACGGCACTAAGCTTGAAACACAATTAAACAGTGACCCTTTTGAAGATTTGTCATTTGAGCTGCTTGTGTCAAAGATGCAGACATCTGTTCGAACGTCACCTGTTCCAACTTTAAACCAAAAGGAGTTGATACAGTTGCCTTCAGCAACACAAAGAAATGCTGATATTTTGAATACTGTAAATTGCATGCCAGCAATGCCTCCTATTCCAACCTTTAACGCATCCCAGGAACATAAGCGCAGCTCTCCAAATCCATTTATTACTGGACTGAACTGCACAAATCCATTCACTGAGAGAACTCTTAATGCTGGAAACCCATTTAGAACGGAAACGCAAGAGTCTGAAATAACTTCACATTTACTAGAAGGACGTGCTGCTTGCAATCCTTTCCCTTCTCTGAATCCCCCCAGCTGTAATACAAGCAAGCCTGTATTTTCTGCTGATGCATCTGAAAACACTTTTTGCGTGCGAAGTAGATCTCTCATGGTGAAAAACGTACAGCCAAAAGGATGGGTAACGTTTGAGGAGGAGGAGGAGAATTTCAATGTAAAGCTAAAGCCATCTAAAAGTGTTTCTGATTTTAAGCGAATCAGTTCCAGGAAGTCAGCTGGATCTCCAGATTTTCCGGGCACTGAACAAAATACTTTTCTTGGTTCAGACTGGAATAGAAGTTCTACTGATTGCTTCTATACGATGCCAGCGAGACGACCACCTGCACCTCCTATACCGTCAAGAATAACCAGCAACACATCCCCTGCAGATCCTTTCACTTCTTTGGCACCTAAGGTGTCGCCAACGCACGATTTTACAGAAAGATAGATGTTCAAAAGTAGAAGAGGTTATATTTGTTGCTACATTTATCCAGTAGAATAATTGGGCATTTGAGATTATTCTGTGTGCAATAATTAATTGTCAAATGCACTGAAACTTAACTCTACTCGTAAACAGCCACTATTGTTTATGTATAAATTTTGAATATGTATATATGGTAGAGCACAAGAAATTGTCTGAAACGTATTAAAATCCCAATATAATAGTATTTGAATAGACAGAGAAAAGAAGGATGAGCTACTAATCTCATTAAAATACACCACTCTTGGAAGTAGTTTTTGTTTAGGGAGCTCTCCCATTTCTGTTCCCCTTTGTGGAATTTCGGAAAAAAAGAGCGTCCCTGCTAGTAGCCTCCCCCACTCCCTTTTTACTGTTTTGTTAATTGATATTTATAAGTATTTACCAAAGAGCTGCCAAAGTTTATTGAGATTTGAATGTTGACAAGTATTGTTTAGAAGTTGTTTAATTTATAACAGAGGCTATGGATAATTGTAAGGCTTATATTTGAATTTGAGGCACAACAAAAATAGTTTAATTTCAAAATACAAACAAAACTTTGCATATTAATATATTCAATACTTGACTTTAATTTTTTGTGTCAGGACATTTCAGCTGTTAAATCTTATTGTGACATATACTCACTAGCATTACTTCAGAACAATTGTTCCGTATCATCCATTTATTCCTTACTATTTTAAAGATGCTTTTTTCCACAAATTGGAAACAACTGCCGCAACACATTTTTCCCTCAAGGTCTGGAAGCAAATTCCCCTTGGGTTCTGTGATACAAAGCAGTCTGTACCAGTTGCAGACAAGATGCTGGAGCTGGCCTGTCCCGCTCTCCTCTTTTGCTCGTTAGAAGGGCTTTCTTGTCCTGTAGAAAGACCCGAGTGAGGGAATCGGCAGCCGTGTTACAGCATCTGAGGAGAAGGTCATCCCTACGTGACTGGGCTGTCTGCTCAGCGACCTCCCCATCTGCTGGACTTATTGCTGCATTTTCAAATTCTTGCTTTCCAAGAAAACAGGGGAACAGTCAAGGGGAACAGTCATTCTCTGAGCTGAACGATACCGTTCTGTCACTTTTGCAGTTAAAACTAAACGAGTGGCTCTTCCTCGCCCAGGGACGGGGACCATCCTCTGTGGTGCTGCTCTGAGGCTGGTGAAGGCAAAGTCACAGCTCTGCATATTGCGCTATAAAAATGCAGCTCTTTGTGCTTTTACGATTTTCTGAAGCTCACGTGAGATTACATAAAATACGGTATGTTGTCATCTCGAGGCAGTTCAGAATAACCAATTTCCGTAGCTCTGTGTACCTGTGCTGTAAAACCCTGCCGTTCTCCTTACATTTCGCAGTGTCTTAGGATGTGACTCGCGTGCACCGCTGCGGACTTTCACCCAACGCTGAGCGTGTCACAGTGTCATCATCTCTTGGGGGACCGCAAACGCACGCCTGCGCGCGTTGGCTCATCTGCGAACAAACCAGGCACTGGAACACAACGTGCTGGTGTTATGTTTATAGTACCAAAATACATGGCGACAGTACTTTTTTAAAAAAAAATTCTCAGAAGCTATCAAAACATTATTTATGAAATAATCCCCTCTTCCTTTAAACAGTATATAGTTAGCCACGAGCTGAGACTGGACGGAGGAGAGACAACAGTGACTTTTATATTGTGCTTTTTTCCCCGTTCAGGCCAATTAAACAGCGGCTGTACATTTAAAGCAGCAGTGGTACGGTACGCTTTGTGCTTCGGTGTGTGGGTTACCTTGTTCTGAGCTGTTGCTGTCAACATCTGTGTGATTGGCGTGTTGGTGTGTTCGTACCTTAGCGAAGCAGTTCTGGGGGGACACCTCCTGCTAGTGGGAGTCACGTGACAAAATATGTTCTTTGTCGAGTATTTAATTACAGTGATTAAAAGCTGCTGTCTGAAATGTACCTGGCGTACAGCACCTCTACACTTTACAGGATGGCGGAGACCGATAGTGAAAAAAACTGCGGAGGTCGCGAGAAATGCTCAAAAACAGAAACAAATGGCGCGTGTGTATGCCTATAGCTGCCCGCTGTAACGTGTATTAATGGGAATAATTACTCGCAGAAGTTCTGCAAATACTAAGAATTAAAATTAGAAACGCTCGGCGCCTTTCCCTGAGTTCTGTGCCCCGCGCGGTAAGTTGCTCCGCGCGACATGACCGACCTGACGCGACGTCTGTGTCCTTCCCGCGCCACCGGCTGCGCCGCGGG